ATATGGAAGTACGGGCAGGGTTGCCCGCGGGTATCGGGGCATGCACAAGTACACTTGGCATGCCCTTGGTACCCATGCCCGTCGTATATTCTGTAGCTGTACTGCACGGTTGCATACATGCCCTTGCAATTTTTTAAACCAAAATGCCCGTTTAGTGCACCCATGCCACCATGCCCGCGCATGTTCCGCCAAGTGTACTTTAATGCTGCCCGCTGTATGCTTCTCATTTTTTAAGTGCGAAATGCACTGATGCACCCATGCCGGTCTAAAATTATTTTTGCCAGATGCCCGCACACATGCCCTACTTTTCGTCCGTGGTTTTCCCACATGCACAGATACCCGCCATTTTCAGTTGTGGCACCAAATCACTTTGGATCAAGGCTGTGATACACAACAAGAATCGGCGAACCGATCCGGAAATAATCTTGAATTGCAGAACGGCGTTCAAGATAGCGTGGCTCACATTACCTCGTCCATTTTCACCCGCCTCAATCATGCTACCAGACGAAGAAGAACATATAGACCGCCCGTCGGAATCTCATCCGTCAACCACGATAGCTTCTATGCTTCCTCCGAATTTGGTACAATTCCAACCTCCTCAAGTACTTCCAGACGCGCCTGTATCATCAGCAGAATCTTTCAATACGCTAGCCTCTCAAGTTATACAAGGTCCAGTTCAGGATGAGTCTCATGTGCTCCTGCTCGGCGGTGCTTCTACTAAAGCTACCGAACCGACACGAACGGTGAACCTTAACGCCAGAAAAAAACTTGCAAAATACATCATCACTAAGTGCACAAAACCAATCAACTGCTTCCGATGAGATAAGTTTTGATTTCAATGATGCTTTAAAGTGATGTACACGAAAGCGGTATGTTCAGTCACCACCAGGGTGTGTGGGGCCCTCTGTCCGTGGTAGCTCGGAGGTAACACGAAAATCGCGGGTAGAGTCGCGGTCAGCGCGTGAAGGGGTACTCGGGATCGAGTAACTAGAATGAGCGGGTGTGTCGCGGCCGTATTGCGGACCGCTATGGACAGCGTCGAAGAAGAACAACACAAGAAAACAGAAGAAAGAAGGAAGAAGAACAATAGCGTAGAAATGTAGAAATAGGTCAAAAAGTAAAGGAAAAACAAGAAAAAGGATGACGACGAAGGGTGCAGGTACCAGACTTAGCCAACTAGATAGGAACCGTAGAGGATCCCATCAGAGATGGGGTCCGATCACCTGATCCCTCTTTACTGTAGCGCCTTTCGACACCCGACCTATATAGGCTGAGCGCCGTCGTCGGCGTCGGTTACTAAATGGGTAATTAATAATTAATTATCGTCATTAGAATTGCCACTTGGCATTAGACGCTAATTAGCGTAGCAACTTGTGGGCACCACGTATGTATACGTGTCATACACGTGTTGTACACGTATCATATACGTGTCATACGACTGCCATACACGTGTGTCCACGTGTGGTACACGTATGGCCACGAGTGGTACACATGGGGTACCTTCCCGAGTGTGCGCGCACAATACACGTGTCAAAGGCGGGGAGCGCGGCCTCCCGACGGCGGTGACCAGGGATAAAGGGTGCAGGGTCGCTGCACTACAATAGTGGCGATGAAGAATATGAAACGCGAATCCCGGATCTAACTACTTCATGGATACTAATGAGGGGAGGGGGGAAACAGAGAAAATGTCCAATATATTAAAGGTACATGCTCTGACTCCCCTGAAGCTTCACTCTCAAACTGAATTTTGTCGCAATCTACAGATGACTGCAGACCTGCTTGGAGAACAGAGAGCATGCTTCGGTTTCGAGACTGGTGTATGAGGGCAAAGGTATGGATAATTCTCGGGGTTTCCGGCGCAGTTCCGGGAACCATTATGAGGGAGATATTGCGGAACATTGGCGCTCCGTATACGGCATGGGCTACGGTTAAGGCAAATCTTCGGAAGCTCGAGACTAAGGACAAGTAAGTTCTCCTGTTGCCAGAAGCATATGCTGCTGCGGCCTATTTCGCAGCAAAGCCAGGATAGCGAGTCCAACTTGGAGCCCTGTGAAGAGTGAATACGGAGACGAGAAACTCCTGAATTGGACTAGTTTGAGTACATTTCTCTTAAAACACGGCTGAAACAATGCCTGAAGTCGGAAGACACTTGCCAAATGCTTTATCAGAATATGCATGCCAATGCGTTTGATGAAAGGAGAGGAGAAGACGTCTCTTGAGGACGTTTCTGACGGAGCTCTCT